ACAGATAGAAGAAAAGAAAGATGGCTGAATGACGGAAGAAAAAAATAAAGGAAAAAGGTCCTTTCTAATCAATTTCTTTACTCTTTTACAGAAGACTGGTTGATAAGAAGAATTAAAAGTATGGTTAAACTACTGTAAAACTTCCTCGGCTTTCCCCCTCAAATGCATATTTCACTTAAGAATTTCAGAAATGGAAATGTACCAAGTTCCTCTTCCTACACCTAACATTCTACAGGAAATGCAGCCAAGATTTTTTTTTTTTTAAACACATAGCTGGTAGGAAACATTACATCTCCAACACCACCTTGACAAACAAGACAACCAGCCCGGGCTATCACTGTAATCGAAGGTCTAACTTTCCATCTTACTTTTGCAGAGGACCTGGTTAAGCATCCTGTGCACCATTAACTGCAACTCCAAAATTCAAAGCCTCTGAGCATTTCAGCACACTCTGGTACACTTGATGTTATAATCCACCTGTGCCAGCCCTTACCTTTCTGTTCTTTAGACAGCTGTTCGGCTTGGTCCCATATCTCAGTGGCATAGAGGAAGTTGGACGTTACTTGGACGTAGCTGGCTGCCATCTGATGGATCCTCTGGGGGATCGTCACTGAAGACCCACTCCCTGAAGGGTTGGCTGCCCCGGAAGAGTAATTTCCTGAATTCCCTGGAGACAGCTTTGGAGAGACTGGAGACGGCATACCGACAGGCTTGCTGCTTATCCAAAGGAAAATATTACATTGTAAAATGCAAATATAGGTACTTCGGTCATATCATGCTGCAAGATTAATACTCTCTAAGACCTCTCTTCCCACATCTCGGGGTCTGAGATGCTAAAGGACTCCCACCTTACTCATCAAGAAGTCAGGATTTGCCCTACAACAAATGAAATGCATGAGCTAGTAGCAACTGCTGAGGATCCTCCAACTCTTATGTTTTAGCTTCACAGCCAAAACCTAATCACCAAACCTCATCACCTTTCAATTCAATAAAATCTTGAATTCATTGTTTAAATAAATTGAACCTTAAAGAATAATAGTGAAAACATTACAACTACGTGGTAACTATACTGCCATATTACCCTTTCAGATAACACGACGCAAAAGTGAAATGCCCTCCTAAAACTCACAGAGTAATCTATCAAAGGTCCATTGTTAGGTTTTAAAGTATGTAAGTAAATTGCTATACTAGGGAACAGACAACCCTGAAAGTACTTGTAGCCGTCTGTGCTTGCAGCATTAATAAAGCTATTGTTTTGAGGGAAAAAGCATTAAATAAAACAACAAAACTCACTGAGATAAGTGACTTGTGTGTTAGTGACACACTGACCCTCTTTTTTGCAACAAGGAGTTGCCTTACAAACTCTCTGCAGAGCACTATCACAAGCAGCAGTCTTCCAAACCTTTTATCAGAATAATTACACAAACAACCGAATCAAAATCTATACCCTTAGAACAATCACCCCAACAATTTAAAGAGTGAAAAGCTACTCTTCGAGCATCCCAGGTACACAGTTTATGTAGAAAACTACCTAGAAGTTGAGAAATACATGTAACAGCTTTTACTACTTACCTTCCCATACCAGGTGACGGTGCTTGAGAATTATTATAGGAATTCTGTTTGGGGAAAAATAAATTTGTCACCTGATTTATGTTTATACTTTATCTGGTTATTTAATTGGTTATTTTTGAAGAAATGAATTTTCTTAGTTTTTCTTTTAAGCAATAACCAACATTCTGAATAATATCAAAGTAAATTCAAATTTGGGAAAATATCCTTTTTTTACTGATGACTAAGACACAGATTAAGAGATTATTCTAGCAGCACAAAGAAGGCCACTAAACATATATATAGGATTGGAGTAGTCCTCTTTTCGAACCATTAGATCGCATTGCCTCTTATGAGAACATTTTGGGTTTTTCAGCCCATTAACGGGAAGAAATCTGTTATTATTGGCATTGAACAATTTAAGATGTTTCAAAAAATCTGAGAAGTCAGGCATGTGACAAGCCTGTTTCCTGTCAGTGTTGATAGCTGGAAGTTTCAGAGAAACCCAATGACACCAGCTACATACCCCCAAGTGTTCCTTTGAAAATCTCAGTCTAGATTAAGGACTGAGTAACATTACAGAAGTATCATAACTGTTTTTCCCATCTGCAACATCTTGATTCAAATAAATTCATTCAAAGGACATCTCTCCATCTCCTTTCCCTGACAGCACTTTTAATCAGTTGCACCGGAATTTAGATAAATTCACTGGGGGGGATGGTGGTGGGGTGTGTGGGTGTGGGGTGGGTGGGGGGGTGTGAAGGAGAGGGGAATTATCAAAAACAAATATCAAACAGCCCACTGCAAACAACAAAAATTCAGAAAGACCAATTTGGTTTTGAATTAGAAGTTGGCTCTCATGCCAGCTTTTGCAAAGGCTGAAAAGCTGCAGCCCATGTAATACACCCCCAGATCCTGAATTCCCTTAAGCTTAAACATGAAAGTGAAGTTTCAGCTTGTTCTATCTGCAGCAAGAAAAACATTTTTAAATTCTCCTTGAAGCCCACTAAATTTATTAAAGAAGGCAAAAGCTACATCAAATTATTAATGGAGAGCTATCATGCTAGGACCAGTAGGGTTATGACAGCCATGCTGTCTCTTCCCAGCTTTAAACTACTCAACTTTAATATACTTTCAAGATCCAGTTCTAAATAGGGTATATTCCAAGTTCACATATCTGAAAATTGGATTCAGGAATTTTAAGTGATGTAGAGCTTTAATTTGCTTAGGTTTTAATATTCTAAGAAAATACATATGCAATTACCTTCAGATGTTCAGTCAGAGTTTTAGAATATTTCAATGCACTTTCCTTTTTCAGTTTGAAAAGCCTCAGATATAGCAGAGATTGACACCGAAGACTGACCAAAGACAGAACAACAAAACATTTACAGTTAAAGTCGAGTTTATCACAACTCAGTGAATTTCAAAAATCTAGTAGCTGTGTTTTTAAAGTTTTCTCTGCCAACTCTTACAAGCCAGCTCTCAGGTTGTAACTCAACCAAAAAAATCCATAACCACCTTCAAATTCTCAAGGAAATAAAAACAGCTCTGTGTGCCTTAAGCTGAAACTACAATTTTCAGTGATCTTGCTGATACAGTAAGTTTCCAGTTCTGAGCTTAGGAGACAACACTAAGTTACTTCCTAGACAAGGGTTTCATTTATTTTTCACTCATGTCAGGACATACTGAGTCTAATGCATTCTGCCATGGCCTCCCCCTTCTTTTCCACCTGACACCAATTGGTTCTGGACCTCTACACCTGCTGCAGCCATTTCTTTAATCTGGGAAGCTAGTGACAATTCTTTACAGCCAGTCCAAATTTTGACTTATCACTGGGTGAGTACATAGAAAGGACCCCCATCCTTTCTGCTGTTACTCCTTAATGTTTCAAAGACTTGGCCCTTGTTGTCAACATCCCCTTCTGCCCCAATTTACAGTAATCAGATATACAGCATTAATCTTTATGTACAGCCAAATTCATATATTCAGTTCAGAACACCTGACAACTCAGTGTAATACAGCACTTCATGCAGATAAAACATTTGAAATTAATCAGTGCATTGTATTAAGTTCAGAATACACATACCAAAGCACTGCTAGCCTTTTATCTGCAGCCGTAGCATCTGGTGCCAAGTAATTCTTCAGTTTCATAGTGTATCTACAAACAAAGACATCAACTAAACAACAAGATAAAGATTACAGTACCATTTATCAATCACAAAACACTGACGTTCTTATGAATTTCTACTTTCAACTGTCTTCAGCATTTCAGGAACCTCTCTCAGACCCTAAACAAAATGCTGATCAGGTAGTAATTGGAATAATTTTGCTTCTCATGTGTTACGCGTTGCAGAGAGACTTCAAGAGCCTCAGCAGAAAGCATCTCAACCTTCATGAAGACACTTTAAGCCTCAGCAACTGGAACGAACTGGTAAGTGATCCAGTTTTACTGGAGAATGATAAGAGATCTCAAAAGTTGGTGGCAAAACTTTAGTAAATCTAGAAGCGCTGATTTCCAGACCTCTTTCCCACCCACTTGACTTTTGTATATGCTTTGCAATGCTTACTTGATTAATTCCACAGTTTCTGAATACATAGGGAACGGGGACTTGGATTCCTGAGCATTTTTCTCCAATGCATTCCCACACTCAATGAATGACACTACAGCATCTAGGTAGTACACAGCCTTCTCAAACCTGTCAGACTGAGGAGATTGGAAAAAACTTTTAAGGACAAAAAAACAGAGAGGAAGTACAAGAAAGCTCCAGTACAGAAGGGCAGTGAAATGGCAAAAGCAGTAAACAAACCCCAGTATAATGTGCAAACACTGGATAAGTATTGGAGACTGACTTACCAATGCATCTGCATTATGTTTTAACTTCTTTGCTTCTTGTAAATAATGATCAGCTGAGTAAGTCCTGCAACAGAGGACACAAATTTACGGACTCAGCCCCACCCATATTGCACTTCCTTTTACGACTGAAGTTTCTCAATGTTGCCAAATTTCGTATTTTTTCTGTCTAACTCAAGTTACAGGAGCTACACTATGATAAAACTGCTTAAAAAGTTGTTAGAATAGTTAACTAGTATGATTAGTTACGGTATGATAAAATTGTTAAAAATAGTTTAAAGTTAGTTCTCTAGTTTCAGGTAATTCAAAACAGTATTTCAGGCAAGTTGATAAGTACACGATTTGGTTAAATTTACTGCATTTGATAGTCAAGCAAACCAAACACTTGACCAACAACAGGGGCAGGGGAAGGGAAAAAACCCACAAAATTTGAGGACAAATTAATCCAGCGCCTCCAGGACTGGTATTACTGAAGGCGTGAAATATTTTTAAATAATGGTAATAATACAAAATAACCAAGATGCATTCTTGGTTATTGCTTTTGCTTAGCCATCCAAGACAATCAATGCCAAATGACTTTCCAACTAGATTAGCAGAAGAAAATCGTGAAAGTGTAATTATACATTTCAATATATTAACTTACTACCTATGAGTTGATTAAAGTTTGAAATAAACTCTCCCATCCATCCTATCTTACTTGTCTAAGAATTAAAGATATTTGAAATCAACATTTTTAACAGTCCACTTACAGGAAATTGATGTCATTAGAAAGCAACAGTTAATATTAAAAAGATTATATACCTACAAAATCAGTTCAATCAGTTCTAGGCCCAAGAAATCCTAAAATGTCCCAATCATAACCATAATGTTATAACATGATGCCATTCCAAAGCACAATACTGTTCCTTGGAGGGTGCTCTCATTGTGTCTTCCTACACTTCAATACACGTTCAGATTTTTTTTTTTTTTTTGAAGTTTGATCTTATCTCAATTTCTTGGCCCTGTTTTGTCTTGGAATAATTACAAAATCCCTGCAAACTATTTTGTCCTAAATGGTTGATAGTGTAATCTAATTATCAAATTCACTTAACTTTTTTCCTTTTTTTTTTCCTTTAAGGAATAACTATCAGGAAAAAAAAACCACCGACCAGCTAGCTTGCCCACTTCCAAAGAGTTCTTAACCTTAACTTAAAAGTAACTAAGGAAGTTACTTTTATATTTGGTATAAACATAATTTTATCTGTAAAGCAAATTTAAAGAACAACAAAGAAAAATGCTTTAAGAGAAAGCATTGTGCTGAGATTTGAATTAGTACAAGTGAAACCTAAAGTCTGCACAAGACGGTAAAATATTTGTTTTGCTTTCTTTTCAAGATATTTTCTTTGACCCCACAGGATTAAATCCCAATCCCGCTGTTGTGGATCTGGAGTTTCAAAGATGAAGGCTCCTCTCTACTATCGATGACCACAACTCCTGACTCTAGAGGAAGCAAACTCTGTTGAGAAGAGAACAGGCAGACAGGTAGCAGCAGTGTCCTGGTAAGGTGAAAAGGACCCATCAGCATTTAAAAACAGAACAACCCTGAGCTATTTAAGTCTACTGTGTGGTCCTTTTAAGCTCGGCAGGAATGTACAGGGCAGGCTACGGTTCCTTCTCAAGAACTGTGCTGTCTGCCAAGTAAATGGCACAGGGAGCAGCCAGACAAGCACATCGCTGCAGGAACAAATGCACAGCTCTCCAGCGTGTGAGTTTGACTTAACACCCTTCGTGAAGCAGAACGAGGACTCTTCTCCATGGGGAGCTGGCTATGATCTGAGATTCACATCCCCACAAAGGGAAAGGCACCTTTTGCTGTTCTTACCTATCATCAAAAACGAGTTTTGCTCTTCTTGACTTTGAACCTTCCGTAGACTGAGCAGACGCAGGAGGGCAGTTTGATGAATTGTTCAGAATCTTTTCCTGAAAGGAAAATTGTTGCCAAATAATAAATTTAAAGAACAGTTCTGCCTTCAAGAAAAGCATTTGTTGTATAAATTTCTCCCATGACTTCACACATTATATGCAATAAGGTCAGTTTTGCACCTGCTTTAGCTGCCGTTCACCATAGACAGCAACACAGCTTCCATGAGGCTTTCACCTAATGCTGGCACACAGGTAGACACAGAGGCTATAATCAAGCTCCTCACTCTAATACACCAGGAGATCTCCATTACAGGAAAGAATGCAGCTGAGGCTTTCTAGACACACCTGGGTCCAGTAAATCCCTCCCTGAATCTCCCATGTCACTGTCTCCAAGTCCTCTTTTTCCACTCTAACAAACAGATGATGAATATTTTCACAATTTCTCATTTCTATCAACAATACACTCTGCTGAATGTCTTTGCCTTGGGAAAAAAAAAAATTCAGAAGGGTAAGCATCATCTTCAGGGAGAAAAGTTAGCTGTCTTCACAACACACTGTCCTTGCCCCCCTAAATTATACATGGCTCAACATGACACTTCAGGCTAAAGACCGGACATTAGAAACATTCTGTGAACTGGAAGTGAATCTGTTTTTAGTAGCTAAACAGTATAAAACAACTCCCCAGCTTCATGTGTGTTTTCCATTCTCTTGATTTATCATGACCAAAGGCTATCTATATAATATATTTCATAACCTACATTTATCAGATTATTGCTAACCAGAAGGATCCTGGAATTGCAAGGCACCAGATTTGCACAGCAATGTGCTATCTACCACTGTAAAGTAGAAACAATAACAAAACATGCAGTGCTATGCAGGAAGATGTATACTACCTTAAGAAAGGCATGACTAAGCATATCTGAAGTATAAAACGATAAACATCTCACAAATTAACAATTGGCTTAGGGACATTCCTACGCTGACGAATAAAGAAAGGGCAAAGCCTCAGCCTGTAAGGTCAATTCACTATCTGCAGTTCCTGGAGATGTCTTACGCAGCCACCAATACACACAACCCTGCCAGGCTTCTAAAATCTCATGGTATTGGCACCTGAAGTAATACAGCATGTCTCCCAGTTCAGATATTCATTAACTCCACCCTCATGACTAAGTTACTTTCTGCCATTGCTAATGTCTATTTGCTGCTTTACTCCTCCCTAAATCAATTATCCTTCCTGAGCATTTTTAGACTTTGCTTCTAAGCTTTTCAGAGACTGCAAATCCCACTACTGAGGTTTAACAGTTGCTTAAACTACCGGAGTTTCCACAACTTGTCGGAGGCTTTGGGGCTTTGCTGCAGAGTGCCTGGAGACAGCCGCACCAGTACCTGCAGCACACGTTGGAATCGCAAAGACAAAGGTGAAACCCCTCCCAGTTAAACATACTATGCTCAACAACTGGCTATACAACAGAAACTGCTCATCACAGGTATTCAACAATACACTCTCAGATGTCCTCACAGGCTAATTTCTGTCCAGTAATACATATTTATATATTGATGAAAAAGCACATTACAATTTAGTGACCTAAGAATATCATCATCTTATTTTTAAATTCCACCATCTAAACATCTTCCTAACCTAAATCTCTTAAAAACCATTTTCTGCAACATCTTTTTAACCATGTTTTCTCCACTCCAACCACGGACAGCGCTGTACATTCCTGAGCTCGAGTTAAAATAATCTTTCTGGGGTCCCACAATGTTATAAAATGAGAGCTATAGCTTCGCATCCTATCATGGAGCGTGGACCGAGCTCCTGCCCTCCTTAAAAAAATCAGGGCAAGATCTGTATCTGCTCCGATGAGACAAGAGTAACCTTACTGTTCCATTTACTGTTGTGTAAACAGCTTTCTAGTGATATTTCTTATTAACAAATTAAACAATAAATTAGCAGCATCAGTAATCAGAAGATGACTAAACACATTTCACTAATTAACGTAAGAATTTGGCAGGAATAAGCATTAGTATTCCATGATGTCTCCCAAGTCATTTTCTAATTTATAGACTTCCAAGGTACTTAAGCACTGCGACATGAAACAATGCATATCTAAAACTAATTACATTTTAACTTGAACTGCAAATTATTGTTTAGATCACACTGCATGTCAAACCGCAAAGCAAAGAAACAGGCTTAAGGCATTTACAGAATAAGCCCTTTACCTTGGATTCTTTAGCACTGCTAGAACCCTTCCCCTCTGTCTTCTTTTGTTTAGAAGATGAGCTGCTTTTACTGCCACTGCTACTCTCCTTGCTAAGGTTGCTGCTGGACTTCAAGGATGACGACTGACTGACCGTCCTCTTCCGGGACCCATGTTCTTGCTTGGAATCTTTCTGCAGGACTGGGGCAGCAGGAGACGGCAGTAAATCCTTCTCTTTAACAGCACTTGGCTTTGAAGACCTGGACAAAATGAACGGATTCAGGTTTTGGGTTTCTTTTCTTAAAAACTAAAACCAACCAAACAAAAAACCCAGAAAAACCAACATCACAAAACTTTTTTTTTTTTTATTTTAAATGAAGAAACAACTTTTTTTTTTTTTTAAAAAAACAAACATTTTTGTTGTTAGACCTAGCAAACCAGATATGGAGCAAAAGAAAGAGAATAATCATCTCGGTGACTAGGCTTCTATGAAGCCCGATTGAACTCGTTTTCACCATTTTATTTGTTCTGACCTGAAAACACAGTAGACAAGTTCTAACCATAAAACCACATCCCTACAACAGTTCTTAAAAAAACACCCTTAACACTTACAATGTAAGAAATTAATGCCAATGTTAGCGCCAGCCTGTCTGTTGCACACTAGTCAGCCTAACAGCTCAGAAAAAAGATGGTCCAAATAAATGTTCTCTGGAACCCAGGAAACTGGAAAGCTTTATCAGCGTAGCCTTTCAGTACACTCGTACCTTGGCTGCTGGGGGCTACTGTTGACTATTCTTGGCTCCCCACAGTAATTATTTCTACACATGATTTTTATAAAATCATATAGTTTCATTTAATTGAGTGTCCTTCAGATAACTGCACTGGCAATCAAGCAAATATCAGAAATAATAGGTAAAAAAGCATAATCAAGATAGAAATGCATCCATTTGTTCTACATCTGTTGCCTAACAAATAGTAAAACACTGCTTAATTCAGAATGGGCAAACAAGATTTCTAGCATCTGATGTGCTGCAGCTTCTCACACATTTGTAATTTGGCAATTACTCACTATACAGAAATATTTTCCATGACATAATTATACCAGTTTTTAGTTGCTTGATCTGAAATAGCAGAGTTTTAAAAGGCAGTGGAAAAAACCTTACTCTTTCCTGTGGATTAACACTGACCAAGAAATAAATCAAATAAAAGCACAGAAATAACATACAAGTAAAATCTTGTATTAAACAATGTTACTGATTTGCTAATTCTGTATTATTTTGCTTTTGTGTCACTCACGCTTTTCTTCAGCTAATCTAGCAAGCAAATATGAGGCTAAATCCATGGATCCAAATCTCAACGCCATCAGCTTCCAAGACAATGCCAGTTAAGTAATTTATTCGCAGTTTACGAACTTGCTAAACAGAGAATTACCAGATTGGATTAATTTAAAAGCACAGATTTTGCAAGATCAAAAAGCTAGATGCACAGCTAATTTCTAACACAAAACAAAACCCCACTGTATATTAGAGAAAAACCAGGAAGCATATATTCCGTAACACACCAACCCTTCACATGAGGGTTTACCTTACTTCTGTTAAGTAAAACAATTGGCCAATTGGTCCTTGGCCAATGTTTTTGGTTATGGAAATTAATTTCCACCAATTACTAGTAGAAACTCTGAAGTAAATCTGTCTGAAGCAATGAAATTTTACTCATTGATTAATAATGAAGAGACGCCTTGTTGGGGGGCGGGGGAGGGAGAGGAGAAGAGGGGGGAAGACAGGCGCCATTGAAAACATAGCCAAGATACTCACTCCCTACTGCTAGAAGTCTTGTGTCCTGATGGAGCTTTTTCTTCCAGTTTTGTTTTCTTGCTTTCACTGGCTCTGTTTTCATCCTCATTCTGAATAAAGCAAACAAGAAATACATCCAGGCAAACATCCACATTTACAGCTTCACTGAGAGTGGCAATGTTTCAGATTAAGAGACTTCATTTAGCAGGCGTTTTGCAGTATACAGAATAAGACACCTACAGACCACAAAAACATTCCCTAAAGCATCTAATCTGTATCAAGTATTTGACCAGACCCTGGTATTGGAACATAATGAAAAACAAAGTCTGGCTTCTAAATTACCAAACTGCATAAAAGACGTAGCAGCTACATTGCTCATTTTAGCACAAACATATTATCACCATGAAATAACAGAAAAATCTGCCAAAGGCTTCAATAAGAGATCAGGAGACAGTTTTCATGTGGAGCCTCACAGAGGTGTCTTATGAATGCCAGAAAAAGGTAGAAGTCTTGAAGTCTATTAAAGTAATCTCAGAGATTTTTATATAAATTTAATCCCAAAGTCAAAGGGTCTTGAAGGTAAATTTCTAAACTGTCTTCAGCAAGCACTGGAAGTATCAATACAGTGATTAAAATGGAAAATAGAGCTTCACAGAATAAGTCATCTGGTAACATAACCCAGATTCAAACCCAAAAGGTTTCATTTTTGTTACACCGATGCTGCAACCCTGAGCCTTACGATCAAGGAAGCACATGAGCAAATAACGTGTAGAAATCAAGTGGTGACAGTTGCATACAGAGCACTCACAATCCTAAAACTCGAGAGGTGGGGGGAAAGGGTAGGTTTTTCTTTAGTTGCCTCAGACTTGCATCTTTTCTGGTATGCACCAGTAAGCATCAGCGTAATCTGAGGATTCAAACCAATTAACAACCAGGCTATTTGCTGGGATAAAGCCTCAATTTAATTGATCTTACCAAAACTTTCTGGTTTAGATGTAAGAGCACAGGTCTTTAATGTTAGAACTCCAAATGTGGACTGAAAGGCATAACTGGTCAAAGAAATAGAAGTCAGTGTATTCAGAGCCACTGGAACATGTGAGTGCATTCCCACGAACGTTAGGAATTATACAGTAACACTTGCAAAAAATAATTAGTCACTGGCTTATACTTTCTCACTTAATTTCCTTATCCAGAGAAAACAGAAATCTTAGTTCAGAACAGTACAGGAGAAACCCCTGTTTGCAGTTACATATCAAGTCTCCTAGACGACACTAATTTCAATAAGTGACAAGTTTACTTAGGTTGCTCAGTAGGAAAACTGGTTTAACTGAAATTCTCTCTCTCCTCTGGAGAGTCAAATGACTCTCTGGATGATATCATAGAATCCTTTGATTCCACATGTCAACGAAGTCTTACAACCACTGCCAAATCCCTGTCAAAATGAAATTTTCAGAATGAAATCCAGAGTAGCATGGCAATTTTTGAATCCCTGAACCAGGGCTTCACAGTCCTAACTTCATGGAAACCAGAAATTTATGAAAACTCATTGGATCACTGAGTCCATCCATAAAGAGCAAACCAGTCACAGGTTTGCTCTTTATACAGACTGTCTGAGGTTTCTAAAAGCAGTTTAAAATTATACCACCAACTACTTCTTACCATTCCCCCCTCGAAGAGTATTACTTCTATTCAGCTCCCCCATTGATTCCTGTCCATTTTACAGATCAAAATTCCTGCTTTTTGTTTATAGTTGAAAAGATGAAATGCTTTTTTGAAAAAGATTAAATATCGTTACGGAAAGATCCCTCTGCTCCCAGTAAAGCAGCACCCCTGAGATTATGGTTTCTGCCGCTGCCATGCCCCAGGCCCATTTCTGCCCCATCCCTCATCCTGGCAACATGCAATTGCATGATTCACTGGTTCAAGGAGCTGACCCAGCTGAAAACTGCCTTTTTTTTTTGTGGCCAGGTGCATTTTCCATTGGATCAGCTGCCTGAGCTGGCCTGCAGTGCAACGGGGGCTGGTGCCAGATCAAGTGGAGGCATGAGAGGGCAGAATGCAGTGCTCAGAGGTACAGAAGCTGCGCTACCTCCATGAGCTCTAGCTACAGTGAGAACACTCCTACAGGTGCAACCTTCTCCCTTCCCCTCTTCACTCCGAAAGAAAATCCCAATAGTCTCTACTATGACAGCACAGGGATGATCAATGTGTTCTACACAAAATAGCCAAAGTCATCTCCTAAATTGTTCAGAGTCATTACATCTAGGTATGATCTGGGTCGCTGGGCTACATGCTTGACACCAGTAGCAATCCACTAAGGGGCTGAGATAACAGGTAAATCTCTGTCTACAAACTTATCACCTGCTTATGTTTCCTTTTGCCTTTTGTAGAACTTTTGTCAGATGGCTGCTTCTGGGATTCTCTCGCGTGCTTCTCTGGCACGTTTTTCTTTTCCACTTTGGGTGCGTCAGCATCCTTGTAAGGCTTCCCTGGTATTCTTGATAAGAGGCTCAGGTCAATCTTCACAATAAGTGGGTACCTTTCATCAGGATCACTGAGTGGTGAAAGAAGCTCTTTCTCTTCCATAGGAGAGAACATTCTTTGCCGAAAAAAGCTGTCATCCTCCTCCATGGAAGATTTAACAGGAGTCCTATTGCTCTCAGAGTATTTGGGTGTTTGTGATGAAGGAGGCAAGCTCTCATTTTCATCTGAATCAGAGGATGAGGTATCTGTTTCTATGAATTCCCTGGATTTCTGGGCAGATTTGCTTGAAGCCTTGTATTTCTTTTTCTCTGTGGTAGGCCGAGGGGAAGATTTGGGCTCTTTCTTTATATTGGGTTTTCTGGAGCCTTTTGTGGCTGCCTTATGCCTGTTTGAAGGTATATTTGTTGCCATGTCTACTGGGGTTTCACTTTCTATTTTAAGACCTCCTCTGGGCTCTTCAACGGATGTCTTTTCTGCTTTCTTGGGCTGCTTTTTACCTACAGTCCTCCTCTGTGTTGAGCTGTCACTCTGGGCAGGTGATTTCTGTCTGCCGCGACTGCTCTCCGAGCCCTTTTGGGTGGGTTTGGAATCTCGCCCCGGTGTAGAAGAAATCGAATCCTTGGATCCACTTTGATCAGTGTACCCACTCCCTGTCCCCTGATCCCGTCCCTCTTTTTTGTAGCCTTGGGAAGATGGGATATTGCTGTCCACGGAAGAAGCTGGTGACACTTTATGTGAATTAACTTTGTTCAACCAGTTATCCAGTTGCCACTTGTTTGTTGGTGGTGGCTCTGGCTAAAAACAAATTAAAAAACAGCATTAGATAAAACATCTCACATTTCTTCCACCTTTTCCACGGCACAGCTGTACTATGCTGCATGCCAAAGCAAGAGGTACACCAAAAAACCTGAGATAAATAATGAATGAAATATAGATTGACGAATATAGGTAACAAATAACAGCTCCCATTTTTCCTTCGTCTGGGGCAGCTGCTATGAACAGGCAATACTTGCTGTCATAGCTTTCCAGAATAAAAGCCCACAGTTTTTTAAGCTACTGTTACTGTATCTAATTTCTGCACTCCAATAGATAACTAGTGGTAAAAATCACTTCAAAGTCAAACATCAAATGTGTGCCTATATAAAGAATTGTTACCATATCCAATTACAGGTACTTCAGCAAAAGAATATTCCATCTTGAAAGTGATCCCAGGTTTGTAAGTCTTTTTTTTTTTTTAACCAGTTTGAGAATTTATTAATTTTTTTCTGCTTTTAAAAGTCAGGATTAATGCCAAGCTAATGAAGACAGCCCAAATACATGTCAAATCCTACCTCGGGGGACGCACTCTGTGATGGTTCATTAGCTTCACTATCACTGGAACTGCTTTCACTTTCAGAGTCAGATCCCGAACTGCTTTCAGATCCACTATGGCTGCTCGAGTCATCCCTTGAATTATCTGCTCCTTCACTGTTATGTTGTGAAGGTTCAGAATTACTGAAAACAAAAATGAGGAAAAATAAACAAATACTACCCAAGGCACAAATATATCCTAGAAGTCCTTTCATTATAAAGAATAAAATGTAATATTTTAATTAACATTTACTAGAAAATTCAACATAACTGAACACAGCTCACCCTGGAAACAAACAACAGCCTTTGTCTTTCCCCCCTTCCCAAAGTGGTTAGTATAATTTGCAGGATATATGCTATTTAATCACTGATTAAATTGTAGTCACCTTTTGCTTTAACACAAGACAAAAGACAAACATGAATGTTAGAAATGAGATCAAGTCAAGAGTGCTGACTGGGCTGAATATCACCATTCTACTTTCTATGCCGCAATCTAAAAAAGGAATGCCTACCTTCCAGGTGTGCTCCTTGGCACTGTCTTATCGCAGTCCTGCAATTAAGAAAAAGAGCATGAAGCTTCTAGAAGTTACTTTAGGATTGTATATACAATTAAGTTGCAAAGCATCAATTTAGAGCCTTTTAATTTTTTAAATTATTTAGCCTGAATAGCATCTTAATTCAGTACTCACAGCAGTTTAAATTTGTCTGCATTTTCCTTATACAGAAGGAAAAACAGACTTATTTTCTCCAAGTTTTCAACACAAATCTATTATCTCAGAGTCCTATATATTCTGACCACAGTTCTAAGAGTTTCTATTTCCACCACTCACTAATACCATGTTTCCACCTTTTTGAATCAGATGATTCTACATTTTACAGTGCTATTCCTGAGATGCCCAGCGTCCTAGGGGTTAAGCAACTAAATGTACTATCTCAAAGTTTTCCACACGAAGAAAATCAAGTACTAGAACTGGGAACAGGAAGAAAAGAAACAAAAGATGAGTGTGGTTTACTGCTGGGTAGCACAGACCCTACAGGTATTTTTAATTTAGCATGCTAAATGCCATTTCTGGCAGAAGCTGCACAAAGTTAATATTGACAAAGATGAAAAAAACAGACTTCTTGATAAAAATAAAGGTGCTGCTATACTCTCAATTACAGATACAGTATCCCTATCATCCCAAACACAGTCCCAAGCTATTAAGGCGCAGAGATGTTCATGCCGTGTACTCTTTAGCCGGAGTGGCAGAACATGAAGGGTTCTATCTTTAAATGGCAGGCCATTACATATGTTTTAAAGTACACTATTGCCATTTTATGTTCAGAGAAAGCCCATCTGAAATCAGTAAAACAAGATTTTCTAGATAAAAGTGTACTGTTTTCACAAAACAGACAATTTTCCCCAAGTTTACCTTTAGGAATACCTGAGGTTGTCTAAAAACATTCCATTTTATTTTTGTTTCTTAATCATAAATCTCCTCTTAAGCTGTTCAGTTTGCTGTTGGAATATTGAACACTGCTGAAGTACTGAACTGTGAATGCATTCGCTGTGCTTTTCTGAAACTCTGATTTAATGAACATACCTGCTCTCCATCGCTGTCTTCGCTACTGCTAAGTTTTAAGTCATCTTTCAACATACTAAGTAAAAGGGAGAAAGTGAGACAAGTTTTTCCACGTACTTTAATTACTTTCAAAGCATTCTTCTATATTTCAACATGCTATTGTTTATACTACGAAGCAGGCTGCGTGGGTGAAATCCACAAGATACCATTCTAACACTTAATGTTTAAGAATGGAGAGTTAAGTCATTCTTTAGAGAAGAATAAGGATTCTAGTACTTTGACTCCTTAGTACATTCTGTTAAATTTAGAAAGGGAATTTGACACAATTTACTAATGCGGGAGGAGCTAACTTGTGTATGTTCAAACTCACATACACAATAGCCAAGAATACTGTTTTAAATAGAACCAAGAAAGCTAACACTAGTGGCTGCTTCCTGTCTTGTGGCAACAGTGCAACTGTTCTAAGCCATAATTATTTTATTATTATTCAAAGCCATAATTATTTATGGTAGTCATACATACACACACTATTTCACAGTACTGAAAATATGTGAACACACTGAAAACATATAGCAGTGTACAGGGCCTCAGTGCTTATTGAAAACCACCTTTGATTACAAAAATAAAACATCTTACTCTGTCTGGTTCGATTCACATCTGGAGAAAGAAAATGAAAAAGTATTAGAAGTCTAATACTTCCGAGTTTCACAGTATAGCTGTTCTACTGATGATCTGAAAAGAAACACCAACCTCTAGGATCTAGTTCCTGAAATATTTTTCACTGCTATCCTTTTACAAAAGATGCATTTATCTCCTTTTTTAAGTTTAGTGACCAGATCACAATCACTTTATTTTTACAATTATTTAAAACTGTATAGTCACAGTAAACATCATCTCAACTTTCTTCCTATGCATCCCAGTTCAACACATGTCCGATGCTACCTCTTGTTCTTAGATGTTCTCACATTCCCCAGCTTTGGAAATAGCACAGTTCCTTCTTAGTGGTCTATACTGCTATGACAAAAGCAAAGCCAAATGATAAACTTCTATTTCTACCACTTGAACTGGCTGCATATAAGCATCTTCTTAAACTACATGTTTTTGGGAAACTGCCTGTAAGTCTGTAATAATTGAGGGGGGTTTGTTTTCGTTCTATTCCCCTCCCATAGGTCACGTGCTTTTTAATCTTGCTAATACTGTAACATACGCACAGACATGCAGAACTAGACTTCATTTTGTGATTGCATCACAACAAACGTTAACTTAGAATAACAAGTTTTCAGAATCTACAACCACTTTCATTAAATGTAACAATCAGCTGGTAAACCTTTATTTTCATGGACATATTTATTTGGAAACAAACTTTTAACGGCATATAATTGATTTTCCGGTATGAGAAAGGTGGACTACAGCCATCTAGAATATTCCAGTTGCTTTTTATTTTTTCTTCTAGTTGCATGATTGACAAAGTAAAATGTTGGGTCTGTGTGCATAACTAATAGAAATGTTTGTCAGTCAGTTAAGAGACTGAGCAGAACAAACTTAACTAGATCCCAAACATAGTTTACTGTCTCCTCCAATACAAAACAGTTCCCCATCCTGCCTATTTGTGCAACTGCTACAAGCTGCTTCCAGCCGACAGCTCTGCAATGCACACGTTTGATAAGTCCCGTCCCACCCTGCCCATTCTTATATGCTGATACCTTTCTGGTTCACAAGCCGATTCCAAGGTCCAAACTCCTGCACACCTATCCTGACAACTGACAAGAAAACAGGGGAACGGAAAGGCAGCACAGGGTGTTTGTTACTCACTCCGGTGTGCAATATTTGGTCTACTGTCCCAGAAAAAGGCCGCTTAAAGATGATCCCCTTTTTCTGCCAGTCAAGGAGAAGTATGCTGAAGTGTCTGTGCAAGAACTGACACATTCTAGTAAAAGAAATCGCTATTTTCCATATCTCTTAAAATGTGACTATTGTTTGTGAAATGTTTTCTCAACAGCCACTTACGATTTGGATTGATGACCATTGGATGTTTTTGATGAAGGATTATATCGTTCTAGAAGAAGAAAAAAGAAATGCACAGTTGAAAACTCAGCCAGCAAAATTAGTCACTCCAAAGTTGCCACAAGTATACAGTCTTAGATAAACCAAGAACAGCTGAGTAGACAAGAGAAAGTAGTAACTAGCTGACGCGAGGTACAATCTCCCATAGACTGAAGAAGTGACTGGATGCAGAAACAAAATACTAAATACAGCAAATAATTTAATCAAGAAAATCTAGAAAATTATTTAAATCATTGCTGTCTAAACCAATACATACTTAATTTGTTATAAATGGTGTGAAAAAATGTTTTGCTTCTATCAAGGTTAATCTACTGCCTTCTACATGCAGGATACAGGATATAGCACAGTTCGTCAAGCTCTGACTTGTTTCAGCATCCCTACGCAGCTTTTTAGCAGATGAGCAATCTTTCGATCCAGAAATCAAACTCAGAAGCCAATTCTTACAACAGGAAAACAGACTGATATAATCTGCTTTTCAGTTTGTTTTTTTTTTCCTTCCCTTTTCTTTAATTCTGGCAAATAGCTAAGCGTAGTTCAACAGAAACGAGAACTGAGGCTGTTAAAAGTTTCCCAGAAAATTCAAACAGGAGTTAAAAACTGGTTCTGTGTTTTGACTAACCTTACCTCTTCTTTTACGTACCTAAAGATCAGTTGCTCCTATAACATAAGTCTATGGTTTAGCATTATGGAATTAAGTTTTAATTTGTTTCCTTAATTCCTTACTGTATCAGGTGTTTAGATTAAGCTGGTTGTGAATATCTAAGAATAAACCATTCTTCTTTTACTATTTAATCTGTTTAATCAATTCAAGAGGGAGTGGAAAGATTTTTGGAAGGTAATAGCACAAATCTAATTCAATTTTACCTAGTATGTTACCTGTGTTAAATTATTAATTTAGTAATATTCAAAACAAAGATACAGTTAAAGAGAAATAAAAGTTGCTTTTGTCTAAAATCTGAAAATGCATTCTGGAACAAGAAATTCAAGGATATTACTAAGCATATTACTACATGAGTTCTTGACCAGTTCTCTCTCTTGATTTTAAAATGACAAAGTGAAAACAAAAAGTGACACTGCAATGTGCTTTTTCTGTTGAAAGGAGGGAGTTGGGTTTTTTAAAGGGTGTTTTTGTTTAGTACTCAGCTATTTTCAGTTAGATCAATGGAGGCATTTTTTCAAGAATTAGAAAATTTGACAAATTAAAAATACTTTTTCTTTCTCGCTAGAAGACAGTAACAACTTTGCAACTCAGTCATAACTTTCTAGATCTCAACAAAAACTGCAAAAGAAAATCAAGCAATTGTTTTATATGTTAAAACTTAAGAAAGTACAGAAAATCTTAACTTAGACTCCATCCTATGACCAGTCTGGAAAATCTCATTCTCCAAAAAGCATGATATCTTACGAAATACTAAGAATACTGAATCACAACAAAAACATTAAAAATATTACAGGAAGTTTAATACACTTACTCTGTTCTCCAGTGCCAAAACTGGACTGTTGAGACTCCTAAGGGAATAAAAGATCACAAGTGGTTTTTTCACTGGGAATTTTAACATATCAAAAAACATGCTATAAGCAAGATACTCCTTCTACTTAAAGGATGGCACCTAACCTCTAAAAAAAGGAAGAACCTAACAACAAAACAGAAAGAGTGATTCTTTATCTGGGTCCCAACTCCTCTCACCAGCAGTAACGGCACAGCCAGCCCAGGGAAGGAGTGCTTCACACTCCTCTTCCTTAGCTCAGCTCTCCCACTTGCTTGGTTTTAAGAAGGGCCATGTGCAGTTGTACTACATGATAGCTGAAACTCCAAAATCCCTATGTAACTTCCATAAATCCTATGTATGTTTAGCATGGAGAGGAACCGTTCAGTATGTTTTTCTTTATCCTCCTTATACACAGAAAAGCTTTGCTGCTAGTTTTATGTATATTCATTTGAATTCTTCTGTCTGCATTTTTCTTTTTCAGACACATACAGCATCGTGGTGGACAACCAATGAGTATAGTAACAACCTATCAACAAAAAAAAACCCTCAGCTACAAAGGAGCCCAAGAGACAATGAAACTTAAAATCTGAACAGCTCTGCACACTCTGCCCAAAAACCCCTTCTCGCAGTGGCTCCAGGTGAGCCCCTGGTAATTGCAGCCAGGCACAGCTGACCAACACATCATTCCTCCCCCACAAAGGCCAGATCTTCATGTAATCGGACAATTCACTTGTAGAAAAGCCAATAAACAATGATATGTAACTTCCTTTTATATATAATGAGTCAGTTACCTATAAATCTAACCATGAAAGATGAAGCCTTGCAAATTTTAGCACTTGTATGATCTTCAGTATTCCCATTCCAGAAAACCCAACTCTATCTCCCAAGACATAGTAGATTATAAATTTTTTGAAACCCTAAAATACTGTTTTAACAAACAAATATGCAGAGGCTACCGAGTTACTGAAAACCTACTTCTAGACTAGAGTGCCATTTTAAAATAGGACCTTCCTGACCTCATTTTAAAATGAGGACAAATGCTGGCCCCATAAATGAAAATTGAAAATATTTGACTCAATTCATGAAGTTATATACACACATTTTACTTAAACGCTCTGGCAATGGCAAACCAGAATTACAATTCAACAATGAATTCCAGGGTTTTTTTTTTATAATTGTGAACCAGTTTTCCCAAACAGCCAAGTCAGTGACATGCAGCAGTTATATACGCAATTTACAAAATTTAATTTTTTAATCACACAAAAGCTTTACACAGCTTACACTTAGATATTTCTAATTTCCCTTAACTTTTTATTTCAAAAGTGAAAGCAGTTGCAATAATGCATTGAACAAGTATTTTGTTGATAGGGAACTTGATAGGGAACTTTCCTTGTAAGGTGTTCCAAATGCCTTTTTAATCTTTACTAGTTGAAAGAAAGGAAGGGACAATAAAAATAAAATTAACCTATGTTTAAAGTGCAAAGCAAAGATGAAGTTGGAGAGAAGCCTTGTGACTTCAACAGAAAGCAACAGTTACACTTCCTTCAAAATAAAAACTGATTTTTATCTTTTACATAGGTACGAGGAGTGCAAATGTGATTCCCTGATTGCCTTTTTCCACTGTCAGCTTAGAGAAGTTGACAAACTATAAGTCAAAAAAGAAGTTAAGGCCACAGAGTAATCAAACGCCACATATACACAGAGCAACTGCGCTGGGGTGAGCCCAAGATGAGGAACTGGCACCCGTTCTTACCGACACACATATCACAAATTCTGCAGAAAGCACCTGCCTAATTGCTCGCTTTAGTCAACTCCCTATTTCTAAGGCATAGTGCAGTCTTTCAGTTAAGCGCACTTTAACGAGGTGTTATGTTTAAATGTGCAACTTTTTCCAACTCTCTTGCCATCTATTTTGTGTTTAAATACGTATTTCTTTAAGAAACTCAGAGATTAAAAAAAAAAAGCTATACTTTCAACTCCGAAGTTATTTACAGCAGTGTCTTCTACAGGTCTACTCCAGAAAGAAGAAACTAAAAACAACTTAAAGGAAGGAAACCCTTTTAACCAAAGTATAATAGACTGCTGAGGTTAGATAGTGACAACACTTAAGCAGGAAACAAAATCGCAGCTTGTACTCAAACACAGAAACTGTGGAGAGAAAAACACTCGCCAGCTGGATAGAACGGCAGTCGGGCACCAAATTCTCATTTGTAGGTTACCAGCTTGGCTGCAGTCCCAGGTGTGGTGAATGGGACCCAATTCCATTTAATGTTTGAAATCTCAGGTCAGATCTCATTTTTATTTCTCAGAAGAAAGTTTCTGTATTACAGCGGATCAAGGGACCTGACTGCAGGCCTTCTTGGTAACTGCAGCACAGGGCAGACACTGAACAAACCCAGAGACAGAATCCACCTCTTCAGAGATGCCTCTAGGTCACTGCACAGGTATGCAGCTACAAAAACTGCCAATCCTCTCACGTTACTTTGAAATGAAAAACTTCCACTCTCTAACAAACAGCTGGGTTTTTTAATATATTTTACAAACATGCCAGTATTTTTGGAGTTTTTGACTGCAAGCCCATGGCTTAAAAAAAGTTATATAGGATAAAATTACAGAGTGTTTGGATAACATTTTTTATCAAGACTCAGGAATCTACTTTTTTTCCATAGCATCCATAAAACCTTCCCTGACCTATTTTCATGAAGTTTTATCATCTGATTCAAAGACTTCCTGGTAATTATTAGATATATTTATAGTAATGCAGAGAAGCCCCAGTCAGGAGTTTGTGTCCCTTCAAACTACTCACTATCTACACATGGGGAAAATCATCTTATCCCAATAGTCTTACAAATAAAATTGACTGGTCCACCAAAGGGAGCTTATTTTTATGTGTACAGGCAAAATATACCAAACTTCTGCAC